GAGATGGAGGGAGAGGGAGGGAGGGAAAGAGAGAGAGAAAAGGAGGGAGGGAATGCGATGAGCTCTTCCACCATAGGATCAGTTTTCGGGTCTCCATTCGCCTAAGTCATCTACTTCGCAGAGTGCGCAGTGTGTGTTAGGGGACGGGACGGAGGTCCGGCCCTTATGATTCCCCCCTCCCCCTCGCCTGCTCGACTTCGCCCGCCTTGCCGCGCAGCCAGATAAACTGCTAACGCCTAACGCTGCGCACGGCTGCGCACCAGCCAATCAGTCAATCCGCACTGATGGCGACTGCCAGAAATCTAGGGTGTTTCGTGACGTGGCGTGGCAAGCCAGATGCGGTGGGATGATGAGGGGAGGGGTGCGGGCGTTTGACGGCCGCGCACCACATCAGAGATCAAGCACGGTGATGAAGCCTTCGTGTGTGGTCGTGGTGCGGCCGGGCGGGGGAAGGGGGGCCTCGGGACGTGCTGTACCACAGCGAGTGTACGACCCCCCCCCCCCCCCCCCCGCCCCCCCCCCCCCCCCCCCCCAAACACACACATACACACACACACACACACGCGCGCGCGCGCGCGCGCGCACCACCGAGATACATTGCCATTCTTATATTAATAAATATGAAGTATATGCTTCAAAAACAGGCAAATCCAGATTAAGCCATGACATTATTTTGAATCGAAATCAATAGTTACGGGTCTAGATGTGCAAATGACTTGTTGCATACTAGACCACTCTTTCAACAGGCAGCAGCTATCATTTTAGCATCATATTCTCTGCAAGGCCGGCCGCAGTGGTTTGGTCATGGCCGTGGCGTTGTGGGCGTCACGGCATGGGACCGCGACCCTACTGACTTCGGGAATAATTGGTACCACAAAGGCTAAGCTGCATGTGCCCCAGAACGGAACGCACAGCTCTGGGCGCTCCGCTCCAAATTTAGTGCTTTTAACGGACACGGTCGTATTTGCCTCCAGCCCTAATGGAATAGCGCCTGATGGCCCCTGGGTAGGCAACACAGCTGACACCGCCCCGGCCCCATGTCCACAAACGACACACTGGGCACCCCCCCCTTGCTTGGCTAGCCGACGGCCGGTTCCCCGAACCGGCGGTCGGGGTACCACATGGTCGCAAACGGCCATCCTGACCCTCAGGGCCCCCTTCTCATGACCGCTATCGACCATCCACCGTCGCCGTGGGTGGTCTGGTCAGCTTTGAGTAGGAATTTGAATTCCGAGTAACCCGAAAAGCCTTTGGGCAGGGGCCGGTCCGGGGCCGGAGGCAGTATGGGCCCGACCATAGTGCACAGCAGAAGAGCGCCCC